TCTTTCTTTTGTACACCCACTTACAACTAATAACAATCTTTTCCACGGGCAACAGGACCACCTCCCATGTCTTTTTCTTATGAAAAAATTGTATCTCTTCCTTCAAAGCAACCAACCAACTCTCTCTATCTTTCACTTTGATAGCTTGCTTAAAGGTGACCGACTCATCATCTTCAATCGAAGGTGCACATATTCCTCTAAATTTACCTGCCCATAATGCCTCAGAGGTTTGCTTGATCCAAACTTCTGAAGTAGTTTATAATTCCTTTGTCCTAGTGGCATCCAAAGATTCCTGCTGCTGCTGTAATGCATGTTCATCTTCCTTATGATCAAGTTCATCCTCCTCATCATTTTGAGTAACACTAGGATGCTCCACTTGAACATGACTAGAATCAGGTTGGTCTTTAAATTCCATCTCAACTACTTGATTTGATATTTTAACATCACCATCAGTAGGCACCATAGATTTTTTATCAAAAGTAACATCCATGCTAATCAAAAACTTAAAATCTTCTAAACTCCAAAAGCGATAGCCATTGACCCCTTTTGCATATTCTAGAAAGATAGCTTTCTTGCCTCTATCATCAAGTTTTTTATCCTTGACGTGATAATAGGACGTGCATCTGAAAATTTTGAGTCTGTCATAATTAACATGTTCAGCTGACCACACCTATAGGGTGCGTTTCCATCTAAACTAGAATGTGGGGATCAATTTACTACGTAACAAGGTGTAGCAACCGATTCTGCCCACCATTCTCGATCTAACCTAGAATTAGAGCGCATACACCTTGCTTTCTTAAGAAATGTACAGTTCAGTCTTTCTGCGACTCCATTCTGTTGTGGTGTGTCTCTGACTGTCCTATGTCTTACAATGCCTTCTTGATCACAGAACTTCTTGAAAGCTCCCGACGTATATTATGTACCATTGTCGAACCTTATGGTTTTCAACTTTCTACTCGTTATGTTCTCAACCATTGCTTTCTAACACTTGAAAATATCAAATACCTAGTTCTTATGCTTAAAAAAGTATGGCCAAGTATACCTAAAATGATCATCAAATAACAAAATACCCGGAACCACCCTTAGAAGTAACTTTAGCCAGACCCCAAACATCAATATGCACATAGTCTAACAATCCTCTGCTTTTGTGCTTGCTTGTAGAAAACTTCGAGCGATTATATTCGATAACCCAAAAAAAAAATTTAAAGCTTTACCGCTCTAAATTTTTGACAATTGGCTCTGATACCAATTTACTCGGTGTCATCCACTTACAACAATGAAATAATAAAATAACTATTACCAAACTTCTTGTATTACGCACAATGGCCTGAATTAAGTCTGTTATATTCTAGGCTAATTATGAAAGAATTAAATCTCTTGTACCAACATCTAGGCACGCCTAGTTTAGACCGAACAGAGATTTGGTCGACTTGCAATCCAAGTTTTCCTTTCGTTGTTATTTAAAACCTTCTGGTTGGAGCATATATATTTCTTCTTCAAGCTCTCCATGAAGAAAATCAGTTTTTACATCTGATTGTTCAAGAAGTAAATCAAGTGCAACACACATAGCCAAAACTATTTTGATAGTAGTGAGTGTAACAACTAGGGAGAATATTTCATTGAAATCAATACCTTCTTTCTGAGCATACCTTTTAACCATCAGTCTTGCACGATATTGTTCTACATGATCATTACCATCTCGTTTGATCTTGTATACCCATTTGTTCCCGATGGCTTTCCGACCTTTTGGAAATTCAACAAGTTCTCATGTTTTTTTTTTCTATGTAAGGCTTCCATTTTTCATGCATTGCTGCCATCCATAGGGAAAGCATCTAAGTTTCTTCCAGCCTCTTGAAAGGTTGATGACTTCCCTTTTGTTAAAGACAATATGGATCATTAATTGTCATTACATAGTTTGAATGCCACACTGGTGTTAAAAATCAACTGGTACTTGTTTCTCATGCACTGGTTCAACTTCAGAAGGATCATCTTCTTTAGACTTTCTTTCTATCTCAACTGCAATAGTTTCTTTGGCAATGCTGTCATGTTTCTACCGACTTTGCAGTTCATTTTCTGCAAAGACTACATCTCTATTAACAACAAGCTTGCGAGTGCTGGGATCCCACAAGTGATACTCCTTCACGTTGTCAGCAACCCAAGAATATACATTTCCTGGACTTTGGATCTAGCTTTGTTCTTTCTAAGAGTTGCATACACAGTACCCGAACACATGTAAGGAAGAATAATCACTTGGCTTTCTGTTCCAAATCTCCATTGGTGTTTGAAAACCAGTTGCAATTGATGGAGATCTGTTGATCATGTAACAAGCAGTTTTCACGGCTTCTTCCCAGTAAGACTTGACCACTCAAGTTGTTCGCAGCATGACTCTTGTTCTATCTAGGATAGTTCTATTCATTTGATCTGCTACACCATTCTATTGAGGTGTATGTGGAACTTTGAATTGTCTTATAATACCCTTCTGTTTGCAGAATGTGAGAAAATCACCATCTACATATTCTCTTCCATTGTCTATTCTTAAGCACTTTATTCTTTTACCAGTTTAAAGTTCCACTTGTGCTTTAAATTCTTTGAACACTGGAAACACATTTGACTTCTCGATTGGTTATACCCATAATCTCCTGGAGTGGTCATCAATAAATGACAATATTTTGCTGCTCATGGATATTTCTGGTGACTCACACATTAAAATGTATCAAGTCAAGTATGTGTTTGCTTCTAGTAGTTACTTTAGAAAACTTCAATATATGTTGCTAGCTTGTCACACAGTGCTCACAGAAAGATAAATGCACCATCTTGAGCTCAGGTAAAAGATTTCGTTCCACAAGAGCTTTAAAACCACATTCCGACATATGTCCTAGTTTGCGATGTCACACCATTGTTGTTTCTTCTTGGCACGCTATAGCAACTAATGCATTAGTATCTTGCAACGTATCCCCCACAAGCATGTATATATTATTTGTAAGCTTTTCTGCTTTCATCACTACGAGGTTTCTCTTTACTACTTTTAAGCTTCCACCTTCAGTGTGGATCTTGCACCCGAGGTCATCGAATTGTCCAATAGACAAAAAATTCTTCTTTAAGTCCTTTACATGACGTGTCCCTTGTATTTTGCGAATAGTACCATCATGTGATTTTATTATGACAGTACCAGTCTTAACAACTTCTAAAGTGTTATCACTACCCATGAATACAGATCCTTCCGAGACATGTTCATAGGTGCATAACCAATCCTTGCATGGAGTCATATGCCATGTGGTGCCTGAGTCCACCATCCAAGCATCATTGAGGGCATTTCCACCCTTAGAACTGATTGCTGCTTCGCTATACATGATTTCTCCATCATCCGAAGTACTTGCAACACAACCTTGAGAGGTTGATGCTTCTGATGTCTTATCTCTATTCCTCTTGTTATACCTTCACTCCCTCTTCAAGTGCCCTCTCATACCACAGTTGTAGTATCTGAGGTTCTTCCTTCTGAGATTTTAATCTCGCACGATTTAGAACCCTCTTATCTTTAATTTCTATATTGAGAAATTACTCCCATTGAACTTCTCAATCTTAAATGTTGTTGCCATGGTTTTGAACTGTATTACACTATTTCACCGTGATTAGTACAATATATGTAAGCAGTATTGTATGTTTTATCGTATACTTGGACAAATCTAGTACACGTTAACGATCACTACAAATATATATAATATAACCACATGTGAGAGTAGTAATCGTGAACCATAATTGCAACGGAGTAGTGATAACGAATCAAATGCTCTGATACCACTGTTTGGTACCAGAGTAATATATGCAACTAAATAAAGATAAGAAACATTTGTGTTTTCTGTTTGTATATTTTTCTCTATATTGATGTTGTTATAAAGAATACAAAATAACTTTTATATAGTTATGGTTATTATATTCATACAAGTTCAAGAGAATTCTTAGAATTCCTACAGTAAAGACTACCACCATTTATTTAATATAAATTTGGGAAATGCTAACCAGTGTCTTTGGGGCACTCTTTAAGTGTTTAAAGTGGTAAGTTTTTTTTAGAAATATGTGTATTTAATGCATTGAAATTTGAAATTACTAACTGACACCTATCTGATGCCTCTCAAATTATACAACCAGAGGCCTATCTGTTTTTCCTTAACTTCTTTCTATTATAAACTTCGAAGACCCTTTCAGAAGGTTCAATTATATCTTATCTATGTAAGAATAGAGAGAATAGATTGAAACTCAAAGAGAAATTGTGTTATTGATGGTATGAAAAACAGTTACAGGAGGATTAGCACTTATATAGAAATGCTAATCCTACTCCTTAGATTTTCATATCATAAGCCTAATCACAACCAACACTAAGTTATAGTTATGATTATGTGGCATATGAAACTACTAGAAGATTTCTAAGGAAACTACCAGCATAACTAACATTGAGTTAGTTATTACTGAGTTGGCAAGACAATTAGCTACCTGTACATATCTCACAGCCTAACAGACTGTTATGCTCATGTGGGTCAAAAAATGTATTGATACTATAGAAGATTCCTATCATCCTATGTATTATTCCTAGTACTACAAATGTAAGCCAAATAATTTTTTTTTTTAAAATTACTGAGGAATCCTCTTCATTACATTCTTGGAAAAGTTATTCCCAATGAATTTACACAACTTTAAACAAAGTGGCCCAATTAACTCAATACTATTTAGCATATGAAGGGGATATTTATATTCAATAATTGTTTTCTCAAGGATTTCGCTCGCCTACTTGAATTTTATATTCAATTATTTGAGATGTTACTGTTGTTAAGGGTGAAGATTTCTATGATATTTCATGTAAATTCTCTATTTTTTATGAAGTTATTGTTTCCTTTAAATATATATTAGACAAAATTGTTTTCTCAAGGATTTAGCTTGGCCGCGTAAATTTTATCTTCACAGCTTTACAGAGTCTGAATTTGTTTCAATGTTCTTGCATTGTGCAGATGACAAAGTAACTGTTTTGGAGTCAGAAAAGCGCGCGTGGGAGAATTCCCCAGATGCTCAGGCAGTTAGAGATGCTCTCAACCCTTGGAGACATGTTGATCCAAAAGAAACAAACAAGTCCTGAATCAATTGCATATAGACTAGCTATTCTGTTATACTTATGATTCATGTCATGGAACCAATGGTAACCTTTCAACAACTTCAGTCGTGGCGGCATCTTGTTGACCTGCCTGCAATTCACAGGCAAAACTCTGTCAAGTATCACACACACAACCTTCAGTTTATTTTTAGCTCCTATCTTTGGATTATTTATTTATTTGTCTCTTTTAGAAGTGTTAATAATTTTCTTGGTAGTATGTATGGCACAGGATGATTGTCTCAATATTTCACAATAAAATTTCTAACATTTTATAGCAGTTATATATAAATATATTTATTTAAAATAAGAGTAGCTTAACATATGTGCTGAGACTTATTTATTAAAAAAAGTTAAATATTAAAGATAGATTTTTAAAGTTAAATATTTTTAATAAAAAAGATAAAACAAAGAAAATGTTCTTCAAATTTTAAAAATCACATCACTTAGCATAACAACTATTGGTTTTTTAAATGGCCAAGTAGTTAGATGTTGTTTTTGTTAGAAGAATCACTCCAATAATTATGTCCACCTCAACACCATAGTAAAGAGAGAAGTGTGAGTCTATGACAAAATATATGTAACAAAGATAACACATCTTACTAATTACGAAGAGAGAATTTAATTGTTTTTCATAAATATTATCTCTGCGCAATTGTGAAAAATAAATAATGTTGAATGTTGAGGATTGAATTTAAATTCAAAGTCTCTAGTTAAGAAGAAAGTGATTATTTACCATCTTAAGTTCCTCTTAAGTAAAGAGAACATAGCTTTCTAGCCTCAAGGGTTTCTCCTCGATCTTTTATATTTAGATTGCTAAAATACTTTTTCTTCTCAATTGTCACTACAATAATGTCATATTCAGAAGTAAGAGTGTGAAAAATCTTCTCATTCAGTCTAATAAGGTTTCACTTGAGCTCTTCATTCGAGTTGTTGAACAAAACAATCTTACAAAATATTCTATAATTATTTCATTTTCTTTCATCCGAAGCATTTTATATTGTCTTCTTAGTGATTGTAACCACATTTTCTTGACTTTTGAATCACAATCATAATACTTCTCAATTATCTTATATCGACGCATAGATGAATATAGAATAAAGCCTACTGATATTTCTTTTTTGATTCTTTAAAATGTTCACACTCATCTTCTGTTGGATTTTCAACCAAAGGTTAAATAAATTCATTCATAACTTCACTTAAATCTTGAACATTGAATAACACCTTCACTTGTTCACACAATCTATCTCAATTCACGCAATAAAAAATTGATAGATTTGCTGAAAAATTGTTCCCTTTTATAGCTTCAATCACTATTGTTCTTACAAATTAAACTAAGTTTTTGGATACCAATTTGTTAATACAAATAAAATCTAAACTAAGAGAATAATTGAATATGTGTATTTGATTACTCACAGGAAAACGTATTTATACACACTAGAAGTCTCGTATTGAACTTAACTAGAATAAATTGATATAAACTATCTTAATTAATTCTAACTAATTTAAAAGGATAGCTTGAATTACAAGAAAATAAAAAAGGTGGAAGTCCATGTGAGCCAAACACAAGGATTTGAACTCAAAGGTTAAGAAGGAAAGGTACTTATATTTAGAAATATCTTATATGGTTTGAAGCAAACACAAAAACCTATAATAAAATGATTGACAATTTTTTATATCAAACTATGCACATTGGAACATGGATTGCATGTTAAGCAAGCAAATGAAAATAATTAGATTGTATACGTGTAGATGAACTAATATTTACATGTTTAAATTGTGGTTCTATGTGATATACAAATACTATTGGTTTTGATGGTGAAAAAAGGGTTTGTGCACTAGTTGAAGAAGGGTGTTGCGCCTAGCGAGCCAGGAGGCTAGGGCTAGTTGTAGGGTTTGCTGACATTACTTAACAGGGAAGAAAGTCGGCGCTCTAGGTGAAGATAGGCGACGTGCCTAACGAGCATACCTTTCTTAAGTCTATATATAATAAAGTCAACTTTAGTTCAAAGGAAGTTTTGGTGGATTCAAGATAGTACAAAAATAAAGTAGCTTCACCTTAAATCTCAATAGGAGAGAATAAGGAGAGGAAGACCGAAGGTGGAAGTATTGCTCGAGGGATCCCTGTAGATGATGTTCAACCTCTTTTTTCTAGGGTTTACCTATAAAGATACGATTAGTAAGCGTAGCTAATTCTCTTTTGTTGGGTTATGTGTAGGCATCTTTACACTCATGGTATTAATTACAAACATGTCATTTTATGTAATTCTACTTAAGCTTTAATATCGATGATTCTTCACTCTTAATGTTTGTTTTGGATTAGCTACCTAAAACATGTTCTCATGGTACAACTTGACATACAAAAAGTGTTGGTCATTACTAGATCCAGGTCTCCATCTATTGGATGCTAGTGCCTAGAGATAGAGTAAGATTTAATATTCACACATATATCAATAAATGATATATGTATTCACTGCTGGAACTTAATGTTGTTGTATTTAATAGAGCGGGAGAGATCGTCTATTAGGCAATACAATTGATCTCACGTCAAATATTACTGACCAATGGTTATACATGAGGATAAGAATGATGAAATCTATTCGCCGACAATTTTTCTCACTATTTACTCCAAAATCACAATTTATTTTCTTTCATTTTATTTTATTTTCTGCAACCAAACAACTATAAACAACCCTTGCTTAAAATCATAAAAACGGTTGATCCATTTTTAAAACACAATCAACCTCTATAGATACGGTAATATTGCACTTGCTATTTGCACTGCAACAATCATAAAATTTAAGGTATGTAAAATCCCCATTTATCAGTTTGTTGAATATTTTGAGAAAATTGTGGGTCTTCCTTCTGGTGGCTATTTCTACTCTAATTCACCGGATGATTTTGATTTCAACATCAACATTGCCAACCATATCTTCTAGCCGATCCTATACTTAGTTACATGACCATGACATTTCATCTTCTTTTCTATGTGGTTACTCATGAGTTGATTGCAAGGATATTTTAACTACTGTCGATTGCTGAGAATATATATGATTGCTAGTTGGCTTCTAGTTGACAATATACAAACCAATTGAGCAAGTAGGATAATTCAACATATGATGGATTGTAGAAGGAATGGTACTTGCCTTTCCAATGAGGATCTTATTACAAAAATCTTGATTCATATTGGAGTTTGTTTAAAAGGAGAGGAGTGTATCACAAGCTTCTTAAAGATCACAAAGCAAGATCATCAAGTTACTCAGTAACCAGAGCAAGCAAATCTTAAGGAGTTCGACTTTGAGATGCCTCAAACATCTCTTACATAACCTCTCCTCAATACCATTCTAGCAAGCCTTCAAGACAACAACAAAATGCTTTGTTGGCTAACCACCAGAATTGACTTCATCACTAAGCACTTGGTTTATATGAGGTTCATGTTCCTCATGAGTTTAGGGATATTGATGATGATAAAGTTATTGATACAATACCAATACAACAGTTTGAGTTACAAGAAGAAAGTTTAGACATCAAGAATTCAAATTGTTATACCTAAACTTCACATTATTTCTTCAACTTACAAGAACATGTCAATATTTACTTCAAGTTACATGTTCACATAAGATACATAGCAATTCAAGTTTCATATTGCCTAAGCTTTCAACATTTGATTCTGCACAAGAACACTCGAGTTTCCGTGGCCTAAGTTACATATTACAAGCAATCCGTGACATTTTCCTAAGAGACTAGGCTCCAATGCGTCAAGGCCTCTTAAGTCAACGATGCATCCTCCAAGTTCCAAGCTTCATGATAGCCTCGGTTTTTCAACTTTCTTCAAGGTATAATGAGAAATCAATAATATTGGTATCACATGAAAAAGAAAATGAAAGGGTGTTGTTAGTTAGTACATTTCAAGCAAAGGCCAAAAAACAGAATATCAATTTGCTTTGTTCTCCATTAATCAATTACACAAAGTTAACACAAGGACATAATTGGCTCATGGACACGGAAATTACATCAGCAAAAAAAAAAGAATAATCAAGTTTGCTTTGGTTGCCCACGGATCACATGATCAGAAAATACAATAATAAAAAAAAAATTCCACAAACAATTTTACAAAATGAAAGAATCACGTGGCTGCACAGAAATCCCATATTTGCCCTCAAAATTTACTCAATCTCACAACTGGCCCGTTCCCATAACAGAAAGGGAAGAATTGGAATGAAATGTGGACACACACCTCACCTAATGCTAAGGGAATTCGTGCAATTCTCTCTAACAACTTCTAAACCTTTTCTCAACATTCTCTCTCCATTCCAAACCTCCTAATCTTAACAAACTTCTATCCCAAACCTGCATACAAATCCAAACTGAAATCAGAAGTTTTGAGCTAATCTCAACCAGGAAACACTTTTAATCAAGGGCCTAGCTTGCTCCATTTTGTTTGCCACGGATCAAAGACCTTTCCTAACTCTAACCACCCTAATCCTAACCTAGATTACCAAAGCCTGAGTCTAACAGAATCAAAGCCTCAATCCTAACCGCTTCTCATCCGAAGCAAATGGCTACTTAAACACTCTTTTATTCTTGCATTTCTCAGCTACTTTTGCCTAGTGAAATGCTGCTCAATCAAATCCTCACCCTCACAAAGCTCTCTACAAACTTATACTCAACTTCAAGTTTCACGTTGAAACTTGAAGAAGAGGAGCTCAACCTCTGCATTTTCCTCCTAACCACAGTACACACCAAGCAAACAGGGTCCTAGAGCTAAGCAAAAGAAGAAGCGGAATCACTGAGAACTTCAAGACCTCGCCGGAGCTCCACCTTGATTTCTGGACACCGTTCGAAGCTCTTTGCAGTGTAGGTACTTTCCCCTTAATTTTGAAGTCAAATCTTCAACGTTTTGGTTTTAATTTTGGTCAGAAGTTTTTGTTGGATTATTAATATTTGTTTTTGAATTAATATTTGTTTTTAGTCAGTTAATAAAACTC